CCCCTAGTAAGTTGGGCTGAAATTTTCTGACTGAACCCAACCAAGCTCGATAGAAAACTAACCTAAGCCTGATGCAAACCCGACAAGGATTCAGATTTTTGTGTCCAAGCCCATTGTTTTTTCCCGATTAAAGGCACGTGCAGTGTAACAAATCAAGTAGATAGTCCAGCCAATATGACTGAATGGTTTTCTACACTCTAGTGGATAACCTTTTTAAATAGTGCTTCTTTGAGTTGAACCAGTGACATCTTTTCTTGCTCTTACACTCTCAGCCCTGTCCTCTGAAGCAAGATAACAGTGTCTCAGCTACATGTAACTAACCAGCATATTTCCAGCACTGGCACCTACCTAATAAACCAAATAATCATCCTCAGGACCTTTCTCTTTTTACAGGCTGAGTTGGTGCGAGCTCTCTGAGGAGTCATGCAAAGGTCTAACATCCTCAGTCCTCACTTCCACGTCCTCTAATCTCACAGAGCTGGACCTGAGTCATAATGACCTGATGGATTCAGGGGTGGAGCTACTTGCTGTAGGCCTAAATAGTTTACACTGTAAACTAGAGAGTCTAAAGTAAGTATACCTTTCCTTTACATTTTATAACGAGCAACACAACCTACACAATATCATGGACATGTTAGGGGCATTGCATTGAGTTGAGTGTAACTATTTTAAAGTGCAAAAAAGTGTATTGAGCATTGCAGCACACCTTGCACTTGTGAGTAACTCAAGTGGCTTAAGTTTGAGAGAAGCAGCATGAATGAGGTCCTGACCTAGCTACTCGGCTAACCTTTGTAGCTTTCTGTATTTTCTTATTGAGCATTTCTATTAACAATCTTTGTGACAAAATTGTATGTGTTGCTCTAAGTTGATTTGATTAATTTTTAGGGAACATTTTGGAAAATATTTAGAGGCAGGCTGACTAGGTTTAATATTTGAAAAACATATAAGACTGTTTTCTAATAATGAAAAAATGCAGTCTGTGATTGTGTTTTCATAATCAGGACATACTTGAGCACTTAATCAGGATTAATGCATCAACAGAATTTTCTGCTATTTGTTTTTTCAAAATGTGTGTGTGTGTGTATGGTTGGCAGGCTGTCGGGTTGTCAGGTGTCAGAGAAAGGCTGCTTGGCCCTCGCCTCAGCTCTGAATTCCAACACAGCTTCCCACTTAAAAGAACTGGACCTCAGTTACAATCATCCAGGAGACGTTGGGTCGAAGATGCTCGTTGCTGTGAAAAATGATCCAAAAATGAAACTGAAGACATTGTGGTATGTGAAGATGGCAGGATGTGTTTAAATGTGTCAATTTTTAAAGATGTAGCCGGTTCCCCTACAACAGGTTATACTGAAACTACACAAAAGCTCCTCATGAAGATGGAAATCATAAAATACATAATTCAGTCATTAAATTCACTTCAGTTCAAAGATTCATATTCATGGATAATTGATTATAATCAAAGCTTAGTGGTTACCTCTCTGTTAAAATGCACTTCTTCTCAGTAATTACAAGAGTAGTTAAGCACATGACTGATTCAGACTGTCTTCAGTTTAACTCATTAATTTTGCCGCTTTACCAAACTGTCACCTTCAATTCAATACAAAACCGGCCTATTTAAGCACTACATATACATTTAATACCTCACAGTTAAAAGAACGGTTGTTTTTGTGGGTTTTGCTGTTGTTTGATATGCATTTATACGGCAACCCTGATATGGAGAACTATATTTTCATTTTGTACAGTTTGGACCATGGTGGAGCAAATCGGTTAAAGCCAGGACTGAAGAAATGTAAGTGTGACATTTTTTTTATCAATAAAGTCTGAATCACAGAACTGACTTAATAATGTTGCTTTTTTAAAATCATAAATATTTAAATCAAATTCAAAATGTGAAGTAGTCTTCTAACCACACAATTAACACTCCAGCTAAATTATTGCATTTGTTTCTCTTTTTTAGATGCTGTAGATTTGAAGTTTGATGAAAACACAGCCAGCAAGCGACTTGTTCTTTCTGAATCGAACAGGAAAGTAAGAACTGCAAAGACTGGGCAGGAGAGGGTTACACAACCTGAAAATGAGATGAGGTTTAAGAGGTCTCAGGTATCTTGTGAGGAGGGCTTGAAGGGCCTTTGCTACTGGGAGGTGGAGTGGAAAGGGGAGCTTGGCATTGCAGTGTCATATGAAGAAGTGTCTAGAAAATGGGACAGCAGTGGTGGCCTAGGATGCAACACGATGTCCTGGAGTCTTCTCTGTTCAAAGGCTGGATACACTGCCAGAAGTGGGAAAACATCCACACCTATAAATGTGCCCCTTTGCCAAAAAATAGCAGTGTTTCTGGATTGGGATGGTGGTAGTGTGAGTTATTACAGTGTGACATCAGGAAAGTTGAGCCTTATACACACCTTCTCTGCCAAGTTCACAAAACCGCTCTTCCCAAGCTTCTGGTTCAAGAAGGGCTCTGTGACTTTGTGTGAGATTGACTGAAGGACTGTGTGGTGGGAAGAGCTGAGGACCTGATGCACTATTTGGCATTTAAGTTTGTAAAAGCGTCACTGCATCATTTCAATTCTTCAACAATAATATGCCATGTTGTTTTTGTTCAGTTGTTCATACTGAAAGTCAGTATGACCATTGCAAAGGAAGAAAGTTCACATTGTGAGGAATGAAAAAAACAGAAGTAGCAATTGTTTAAAACTGCTTTTATGGAAAACGTTTACATTGTCACATTCCATGTTTTCTTATAATGATCATTGTGTTTACACATTTTAAATTTTTGAGGTACATCATAGGGCAACTATTCACATAGAATTGCCTATGGGTGGTTATTTTGTAACAAGCAGCTAAGGTAAATATGGAGAAGCAGCTTTTAGTTTTTATGCTCCGCAGATCTGGAATGAATTTCCAGAGCACCTTAGGTCTGCCCCAACTTGCTTTTCCAGAGGCCACTTAAAGATTTTACACTTTTCTACATCTTCTTTTTTAAAATGTTTTAAATCTACTGTGTATGATTGTCTGTTTTGTTTCTTCTATTTTATAAATGTTCTATATTTTATAAGTCTTGTATGTTGATATAAAGCCCTTTGAATTTCGATTGTGTCCCAAATGTGCATAATAAATAGTCTTGCCACACATAATTTATTAATTGATATTTTAACATAATATTTTAAAACTGTTGACTTTGCTTTGAAGAACAACGCCACCTGAGGAATTGCACCCCAGGATCTTCTTTCAAGGTCCTTCACTGGACACCAATCAAATGCACAAGCTCGTACTGATAAGAGGCGGAGACAACAAACTTTCATATCCCGGTGCTCTCACTCAACTGCATCAAAGTTGGGACCTCAACTGGAGTGACTAGCCTCCCAGTACTGTAATGCAAATTTACCCATTGTGGGAATAATAAAGGATTATCTTATTTTATGTGGCACTCAGCTACACTGAAACAAAAACTAATGCAGAGATTAAAAGCGACATAACCATTGTGCACAATGCAACAGCCTGCAGTTTAATTCAATATTATTCCAATTGTCGCCTCCCCACAAACAAGGCACAGAGAAATTCAAAATACCCGAAACAAAATAATTAAAAATGTCATCCCAAACAAGAAACTCTTTTAATCGATCCTGGGCCCATCAACTAATTATGCAGAGTGATGCACTTAAAACCAATGCATATTTTCAAATCTCTATTTTCAAAAGCAGAAATCCCTGTACAAGCTATCAATTCATTATGATGCAAACAAATGCATCATCCAAAAAACACATAAACACGTGCATGCACATACTTTTAACAGCTATCACTTCGTTTGAATGCCACTCCCCATGTATTCATGTGTGTCTTTCACAGCTCAATGTCTTTGCTGGTATGTGCAAGTCTGCATGCATGTGTGTGACGCGATAATGAATTACACCCATGGAGGACAGGCCTGAAGGAAAGCTGGGCCAAAAAGAAGGAGGAAAGAGAGGGAGGGTGAAACCAAGAACTGAAAGGAAAACGTTCAGGGACAATATAGCAACCAGTGCAGTGAAGGCCTCTTTACACAAGCTGCCTCATTGTTTTCATAAACCTAATTCTTGACCAAATCTTTGAAGAGGCTGAAAAACTCACAGCTGAACATTTAGTCCTGGTCCCACATCACAGACCTCATAACAACAACAGACCTGTTTGATTCATTCAGGACCTTTCCTGTTCCTGCTTCTTTCAGTCTGTACCATTGATCTGCTGCGGCTAATTGACAACACATTTGGAGTGCCTCTCGCTCTCTCTGCCTCTGTCTCTGAAGATTTGTTTTGATTAGTGAGCTGCCTATGCCAGCCTCAAGTTGAATGAATGAGCGTCTGTTTGGGTTTGCTGGATGGAGACAAGGGACTTTGTGTGTATGTGTCAAAGTCATTGCTTTTGAGCTGCAAAACTTGAATTCCTCCTTCCATGATCAAAAAATCTTTGCAAGTCTATGTCATATGCTTCATTAAATTGTTTCTTTGTTAGTCTTTTAGATCTAATGGTAAATGCTCTTTACAGTTTTTTTCAAACACATTCATGCAATGCATCTACATGTGCAACACTTCCTCTAGCACACATCGTTTAAGCACTCAGTTGTCAGGGGCAATTTGGGGTTCAGTATCTTGCCCAAGGACACTTCAGCATTCGGAATGGGGGAAATGGGGATCAAACTGCCAACCCTCTGGTTAGTGGACGACCTGCTCTATTTCAGAGATTAATTGTGTTTGATTTTCTTATTTGATCCCTCTGACACATACAGTTGTGTATGATTTCTTACATTCTTCTTACAGCAAGCTCCACTTTAGAGATCCTGTGGGTCTGCAGTTCTGACTCAAAAGTTGCTCAACTGGATGCAAGTCTAAATGTGTAATTCTTACTCTTTATCCAGCTCTGATTCAGCTGGGAAAATATTACATTAAAATCTAATCTCTATACCATTTAATTCTTTGTTGATATGGAAAGTGATGGAGCTGGGGTACAATTTTTTATATATATATATATATATATATATATGGAATATATGGAAAAGGAAAAGTTCTGATTCCTCTCAGATATGTTAAATGTTATGCAACCTATTTACCTTATAATAACAGCTTCTAAATCATATGGATGGAAGACTGACTTGTAATAGCTCTTGTGCTATGTATCTTCGGTGATTATGATCTCCCATGACAAGTGTAACTGACAGTCTGCTGCTTCAGGCCCAGTAAGTCCAGGATAACTTGTGTAGTGGCTGATCTTAACCAGTTTGGCTTGTGCTAATGGTGTTTGCAGCTTTCTTTATGAAACTGTAAAAGTTGTGACCTGCAGGAACTGAGCTGTGGCAAATAAAAGCTCAGTCCACAGAACCCTGACGCTGCACCACTCACTGCTGCTGCACAAATAGCTGTTCACCTGTTCATTTAAAGTTTGGTGAAGCTCGACTCAACATGACTGAATTTGATTAGTCCCAGTGGCTGCTGCAACAGAGTGCTGGTCGCCTGTTCATCCAAAGTTTGTTGATACATGTCCAAACTGCACCAAATTTGACAAAGCACTTTCCTTGGCCACCATGCAAAGTGTTAAGGTTAGAAGATGAAAGATTCACAAGATATGCTTTCCACAAACAGTCAACATTTTGTGCAATTAGTGGATAGAAAAGATACTGAACTTTAGATCAATTTAAGAAGACATTTGTAGAATATCAAGAATTCTAAAGAGTTTGGTGTGTTTGTTATAGAGACAGCACTTCTGGTTGGAGAAGCCCAGCATCATGGAGAGTACACACAGCAGACAGACACAAACCTTTCTGTAGAACTGTGATTTACTCTCCTCCGCAGCTGACTTTCTCTTTGTGACTTCACTCTCTTCTTTCAGCCAAAACTAAATATTTAACCTTTCACGTTGCTCTCAATATGAACCTGAATGCTCTTTCAGAATGGTGATTCACATCCAACGTAGCCCCATTCAGTAACAGGGTCATCAATGTGAAGTGCACTTTAACTGTTTAAAAGGAAGCTCTAATGGTCTTGTGATTTAGTAAACTGCAGCAAAGCAAGTACGACCCAGATATTTGAAATATTTCAACCCTGACATTGTGTGAATGTATGAAAACAAAGGCTTTCAGCACCTTTCACTTCCATCACCTCGTACCTCTGCCCTGCAGCCTGGAAAGACAAAGTGAATTAGGCTCTGATAGCTGCTGTTTTGCAGGTATCACATGGTTATGTGTTAATGTGAGTGTGTAGCTGCAGGGTCACATGTTATGTCATCTAATACTTTGACGATCAGAAGTTGCATATTGTGTGTTTTCCTGTGAGTCTTTGTCTTGCATTTACACTGGTGTGTGTGTGTGTGTGTGTGTGTGT